CATGAACTTCACATCTCTATCTGAAGTGATGGTCTTTGGAACTCCATGTAAACGCACAATCTCTCTAAAATATAACTCAGCAATGAGAGAAGCATCATTAGTTTTCTGACAAGCAATAAAGTGAGCCATTTTAGAAAATCTGTCAACCACGACCATAATAGAATCCTTGCTTCGTTGGGTTCGTGGTCGACCAAGGACAAAATCCATTCTAACATCTTCCCAATGTGATGTTGGGATAGGCAATGGCAGATACAACCTTGTGTTCTAATTGATTGTCTTGGCTTGGTGACAAACTTTGCATCTTTTAATGTGACGAATGACATTCTGCTCCAACTTTGGCCAGTACAAACTTTCTTTAACAAGAGCTAAAGTCTTGTCTCTCCCAAAATGACCAGCTAATCCACCATTATGTGCTTCCCAGATAATTGAATCTCGGAGTGAGCAACGTGGAACACATAATCGATTACCCTTGAAGAGGTAATCTTGTTGGCGATGATATTGCTGAAAGGCTTGATTAGAAGTGGCTTGCCAAATGTTGCTAAAATCAGGATCATCCTCATACAACTCCTTGATCACTTTAAATCCAGTGACTTTCATCTGTAAGGAAGTAAGCAAGGCATGTCAACAACTCAGAGCATTAGCTACACGATTTTGGACTCTAGATTTGTATTTGAGGAGGAAAGGATAAGCTTGTAGATATTCACTCCAAGCAGCATGTCGATGACTGATCTTCTGTTGAGAATTCAGGTGCTTCAATGCCTCATGGTCAGAGTGCAAGATGAATTCTTTTGAAAGAAGATAATGACTCTAATGCTCCAAGGCTCGAACAATTGCATAGAATTCTTTGTCATAGGTGGAATATCTGAGCTTTGTGCCATTCAACTTTTCACTAAAGAAGGCAATGGGTCGACCTTCTTGACTTAACACTGCACCAGTTCCAACATTAGAAGCATCAAAATCTACTTCAAACATCAGGTCAAAGTTGGGAAGTGCAAGTACAAAGGTTTCAAAGAGCTTCCTCTTTAATTCTTCAAAACTTTGTTGGGCTTTGTCACTCCATGAAAATTTGTCACCCTTAAGGCTATCAGTAATAGGGGCAACAATATAACTAAAATTCTCGATGAATCTCCGGTAAAAAGATGCCAGGCCATGGAAGCTTCGAACATCATGCATCGATGTTGGTGTAGGCCAGTTGACAATAGCATCAATCTTACTGGGGTCCATCTTGATACCTTGAGCAGTGATGATGTATCCAAGAAATGTCACACTTGTACTGAGGAATGAACATTTCTTGAGATTAGCATAAAGTTTCTGTTCTTTAAGGACTTCAAAAACTTGCCGAAGATGGTCTAGGTGCTCCTGTTCATTCTTGCTATATACCAAGATATCATCAAAGTAAACCACAACAAATTTCCCAATGAAGGGTCGAAATACCTGGTTTATAAGGCACATGAAAGTGCTGGGAGCATTAGACAATTCGAATGGCATGACCGTCCACTCGTACAAACCATCTCTAGTTTTGAATGTTGTCTTACATTCATCACCGGGACGCATTCGAATTTGGTGATATCCACTTCTCAAATCAATCTTTGGGAAGGCAGTAGCTCCATGCAATTGATCAAGCATATCATCAAGGCGTGGAATTGGGAAGCGGTACTTGATAATGATTTTGTTGACTGCTCGACTATCTACACACATTCTCCAAGTTCCATCTTTCTTTGGGACGAGTAGCACAGGCACGGTACATGGGCTAACATTTTCCTTGACAAGTCCTTTCTCCATCAATTCTTTGACTTGTCGTTGAAGTTCCGCATACTCTTGAGGGTTCATCCGATAAGCAGGCTTGTTTAGGATGACAGATCCTGGAATGAAATCAATGGCATGCTGAATGTCTCTCATTGGTGGTAATCCAGGAAGGATCTCGTCAAGAACAACATCAGAAAATTCTTCAAGGAGAGATCGAATTTCTTCTGGAAAAGGGCAAGTGGCATCATTTACTTTGGATAATAGTAGGAGACATGCTATTCCCGACTCTTAGTGCAACTTCTGAAAGGTTGATCTAGAGATTAAAGCCTTGTCCTCATCCTTCTTTTCAAGTGTTTCTACAGGCTTCAGGGGAGTGAGCTTGACCTTCACACCATCTTTCACAAACAAGTAGGTGTTGGCATGGCCATCATGGATAGCCTTTCGGTCAAATTGCCAAGGGCGACCAAGTAACAAGTGACAAGCATCCATAGGAATAACATCACACCATACTTCATCTTGGTACCTATTACCAATAGAAAAAGACACAAGGCAATGTTTAGTTACTTTTACCTCGTTTCTTTTTCGTAGCCATTGTAACTTGTATGGATGGGGATGATCTTTGACAGGCAGACCTAGCTTCTCAACCATATAATTTGACACAACATTCTCACAACTTCCACTGTCAATGATGACATTACAGACTTTCCCTCGAGAAGTGCATCGGGTGTGAAAAATGTTATGTCGAAGCCAATCTTCATCCTTGGTTATGGTAGCATTAGACTACAACGCACAACCAAAGATTCTCCATGGTCAGCTAGGATGAGTTCTTCCTCAAGCTGGGGTGAGTCAGTTTCATCATTTTGCTCCTTTTCTGCTTCATCTTCTGAGGCTTCATGAATTTCTCCTCCGATAATGGTGACAGCTCTCCTATTTGGATAGTCAGAGGCTATGTGGCCAAATCCTTGACACTTGAAACACTTTTGAGTGTTAGATTGAGCTAGACGGCTTGAGCTGACTTCCTTCTCAGTCTTGGCAGGGGTCTTAGCAACAGTTTTTGAGGCTTGAGTCCCTCTGTTGGCTCCAAAATCTCGCGATTTTGAAGCACTAGTGATATTCTTCTTTGAGATTTGCTTTTCAACCCTCAATGCTAGCCAAATTCCATCATCCAAAGTCCAATATTGTTGAAGTTGAACAACTTTGGAAATGTCATAGTCCAATCCTCCAAGATATTGAGCTATGGTTTGCTCGTCCTTTTCCGGAACATCACACTTCATCATTAATTGTTCGAACTCCATAGTATATTCTTCCACAGTCAAAGATTTTTGCTGCAAGTTATGAAATTTAACAAAATTATCTTGGTAGTAACGGTCAGGTAAGAACTTACGAGTAAGCTCTCGACACATTTTCTCCCAAGTTCTAATTTTGCTACGGCCTTCTCTTTCTCGACTACGTTTGAGATTCTCCCACCAAATGGATGCATGTTTCTTTAATTTGATGGCAACGAGCTTCACATGCTTGTCGTCAGGAATATCCTTGAGTTCAAACACACATTCCACAGTATTCAACCAGTCGATAAATTCATCTGGTTGAAGCCGACCTTCAAAATCTGGAATATCGATTTTGATGCCAAGGTCAGTGGATTTGGGAGCAGCATTTTGTTGGGGACGTCGTCGACGACGAACTCTTTCTATTGATGATGAGCTTTCATTATCCCTTAGGTGATGGAAGGGATTCTCGTTATCAGTATCTTCCTTTAACTCATGTGGTTCATCTTGCGAGTGTTGAGCTTGTTGTCCCTTAAAAGCTTCGAGTCTTTCTTGAAGCCTTTGGATTTGTTGACGTAGTTCTTCCATTTCTATGTCCCGAACAACTCGTTGACAAGGAGGATTTTGTCTTCTAGGAGGCATGATGAGTTTAGGTTGGTAAGGGGCTTTTTAGAAAGTTCGTATTTGAAAGTGGGGGTAATTTGAAATTTATAAAATTATGGGGTCAATCTGTAAGGTCAAAATAAGTTAAGGGACTTGATAACGTGGTAAAAGAGTGCGGTTGCGGTAATGACATGTCACTGA